TACACGCGACTTGATAGTGCTGGAATTGAATGGTCAGATTGTCATCAGGCTGGATTGATATTGTAGCGAGCGCCGTGCCATGTACTAGCCTTGAACAAGGCAGGGCTATTTTGATGAGCAGGTCTATATCAGTATTGACTCAAGATTCACTGCAGTTTAATCCAATGTCGTCTTCCCCCACAAGCATATCTTCATCTTGAACATAAACGTGAGAAATGTCTTCATATAGCGATATTATTCGGGCAGACTGTGCGATGGGCGCCGCATATTGGGATGGGATGTTGGAGATGAACTATTCAACAGAAGCAGCGATAGGTTCGCCATACAAGATGTCTTGTAAGTTGTACATATACTACCACGATGAGGGAAGAGTCAGCGACTCCACATCATCACAAGTTCACATGTTGATAACTGATACCTCTTGGTTTCCGGAGGGCACCTTCATCCGCGACTTGGAGGTTCTGCGGTGTTTGAAAAATCGCAGTTTTCAGATTAAACAGCTTTACAGGCTGCGCACTGGCAAGGATGGCTATGTACTCTTTTGGCGAGCACCTTCGCCAAGGCTGGATCAACGTCACCGGAGCTTGTGGTACGACTAGGCTCGACCAGCTTCTACAATCCAACTTTCGCGGACCAGACGTATGTCCTTACTTTGCGAGGATGGAAGACTGGTCCATCTTGGCGAAGCCGGTCGTGAGCATCAGAAAGTTAGTCAAAGAATCGAAAAGGGAACACGGGTCGTTTGCCCGAGTACGTACGTTCTTGGCAATTGCAGACAGCTGCTTGAGTTCTTCTGCAAATTGCTGTGCTACTCTGGCCCCCGCATTTTCCGCCATGTTACTGGCCGTCCCACGTTTCTCTGGTCTTGAGGACAACGCCAAGGGCCTGTTTCTACGATTTTATCCGGGTATGTCAATCACAAGTTCCTTTACATATGTCGTCGTATTCTCAATTCCGGTTGCGTATCTGTAAGAGCCTTTCTATTGACATGTAGCAGTTATTGTAGCGGCACTTCATGATGAATCCTGGATGCTGGATGGCCAACCCTTCGATGTCAAACGATTCCACGATCAGTCGCTGTTCCTGAAGAGCCACTATTTCGAAACCAAGACTGTAGAACAGTACAAACAGAGGACATCCGACCACATGATAGGGGTGGGTAAAGAGGGCACAATGAATTAGAAAGAGCTCCTCGCGTTGAGTATGTATCTCACAGCAAGGCTCATTTGCCTTGAAGATGGTTTCATGGCCGAGGATGCATGGTACTACTAAGTTATTGCTTTTTGGCATGGCTGATAACGATCGCTTCTGTTTGCACTGACTGAACAGACCTTACAACTTAGCGACTTTTGATTTCGAAATCATATAGGTCCAATATGTGTTCATTCTTCTGCTCGGTCTGCAAAGCGCCGATAAGCGCCGCCTCCTCGCCCTTACCTGAAACTAGTTGCAAAAAGCACACATTCTGAGACCACCCCATAAAGTGGCGGCCAAACCGTTTCCCCGTCGCCGAATCTCATCCAAGAATCTGTTCATCTTAATCTCGCCACGGCGCGGGGCTTCGCGTCAACATCCGCCTCGGATGAACACGTTGCAAGCTAGCAACCATGTATGTCTTCCCTAGCAACCCCACACCGTTCGATTTCCGCCATCTCTATGGTCACGACTACCGCCGAGACCACCAGGCAAGCAAACTGGAATATGCCGTCAATAGGATCTCCCGCTATCTGTTCCGCGTGTACGATGCCAATTCGCAGGGGGTCACATCAACGCACGTTGTATGGTCAGCCCACGCAAAGGCAACTTGGAACTGGGACCGGAACAACCTTCTTCTAAGAAATGACGACTCCGCACCCTCTGACCTCTACAATCATCTTAATTGGAGGAAATTTCCCCGTCACAGCCCGCCGGTATCATGGACCAGCTCACTGCTCTTCGCAATTCAGCTGGGGCTCTACAAACACACCAAACACCCTCTGGCCAAAGACTTGTCTAATATCTTCATCCTTATGATCGACACCTCCAAGTTTCCTAAAGGCACGTTCATCCAAGATACGGTAGCCATGGATTTCTTTCGGGATGAGGACACCTGGAACAAGGAACACGAGACCTTCTCCGAGATGAGGTTCAAAAAAGAGCGATGCTCCTTCTACTTCGGGGAATATCTTACCCAGGGGTTGTTGTCGGTCGAAGGGAAATGTAGCAAAACGTCCTTGCAAAAGCTCGTTGATCTGGGCCTGTTCAAGTTCTGCCCATATTTTGAAGACAAGGAGCATTGGTGCAGCTTGGCGAGCCGGGTGGTCGAAATACGTCGAACCTCATTCGCCACGTCAATGCCGCCGTGTTCCTATCAACCCAGCGAGCAAGCAGCAGTGCGTAGAGCCGTCACCATAGGCCAGGCGTGCTTTGGGGATGTCTGGGCTCTCCCCTTCGCCTTGATGATACTGGCCTGCACACCGATAAACTCATTGACGGATGACTTTTTTGCCGCACTTGCGGGCATATTCTCTCGTAAGTCCACAAGACAACCTACACTGCTGAGACTTGTTGCGCTATAATATTGACTCGACTGGCTAATGTGTTGGGGCTGTAACAGGTGAAGAGCTTGACGAGGCTTCCCCGGATAAGCTGAACATCGATGCCATTAACCTCATCGAAGTAGGAGATTATGAGCGGTTCGCTAAGAAGTTGAGACGTTTCAGGCTCACGTCAGAAAGGGAGAGAGCTGAAGCTCAGCACACTGAGGCCATTCTGCTGTCTAGAGACTCGATGACTGCGAAAGTGCCCTTCGTCACGGCTGTCTTCTCACCTGATATAGGATCACTGAGCCTCAGCCAGTAGGAAGCGAGTATTTTGTGTTGTTGCATATGACTATTTTTCAAGCAATAACGTCCCACACCCACTTCTGGGCACCCCCCACATTTGGGCACCCCAAAAATGCCTCACCGCCATGAATACCCGCCACCTTCAAACCTACACAACTTTATCAATCTTTACCCAATTGACTTCATTTTTGGTATATAGCTTTATAAGCATCAGATGCCCTCATATTCCGAAGATGACGTCCTACGGGCGCTTGCTGCTATCGCAAACGGTACATCTGTCAAAAAAGCTGCATTTGAGCATGGTGTGCCGCGTTCAACTCTACAGAATCGGATTAGAGGTGTGCAGACGCGAGATATAGCGTTTTCTGATCTGCAAAGGCTTTCTCCAACCCAGGAAAGTCATCTGGCTGAATGGGTTCGAATCCAGGCTGCCCTAGGCCTTCCTCCAACCCATCAGCAACTCAAGGATTTTGCTGAACGCATCCTACAGATCCATGGAGACTCCCAGCCTCTTGGAAAGAACTGGGTGCAGTCTTTTATTAAGAGAAACCCATCTGTAAGGGTCCAAAGAAGCAGAGCAATCGATTCCCAGCGTATCAATAGAGCTTCAACTAATGTAATCAGGCAATGGTTCAAGCACCTCGCCATACCTGAGATCATGGCCATCAAGGCCTCCAATCGATACAATATGGATGAGACTGGTATTCTAGAAGGCAGAGGATCAAATGGGCTTGTCCTTGGATCATCAGAAACTCGTTCTATCCGCAAGAAACAGCCTGGATCGCGTGCTTGGACATCTCTGATCGAGTGTATCTCTGCAACTGGCAAGGCACTGCCTCCACTTGTTATATACAAGGGCAAGAGTGTCCAGCAGCAGTGGTTCCCTCTAGATCTGACGCCATATGAATCCTGGAAGTTCACAGCTACAGAAAATGGGTGGACTTCAGACTCTACAGCTGTCAAGTGGTTAACAGAGGTCTTTATTCCTTCAACCCAGCCAGGGGACCCCTCAGAGGTCAGATTATTGATTTTGGATGGTCATGGAAGCCATGAGACTACTGCTTTTATGTATACATGCTTCAGGAACAAGATACACTTGCTGTTCTTGCCAGCACACACGTCACACGTCCTTCAGCCACTTGATCAGTCGGTTTTTGGGCCCCTCAAGGCAGCATACAAGAAGGAGCTTGGATTACTGGCTGAATGGGATGCTGGTACAGTTGTGGGCAAGAGAAACTTCGTTATATGCTATGGCAAGGCGCGTAAGGCAGCCCTGACAAGCAAGAACATCATCAGTGGCTGGAAATGGACTGGTTTGTGGCCTGTCAGTATGGCTAGACCCCTCATGAGCCCTCTGCTGCTTGAGAACACATCAACCCCTGCCAAACCAGCTGGTCAGGTCTGCAAAGGGCTCTCTGATGGCAAAGCAAGCGAAAAATGGGCGGCAGATACATCAGCAGTCCTTTGGTCAACCCCCAAGAAGAGGGATGAGCTTCAGGATCAGTTCAGCCTGTTCAGCAAGCTAGATAACGATGAGCATACGCAGCGCCTGCTTTTCCGGAAGGTTCAGAAGGGCTTTGATGAGAAGGCATACCAATTAGCAGTAGCCCAGCGAAGGATTGAGGCACTGCAGGCAGAGGTTGATGCCAGTAGGGCCAGGAAACGGAAGAAGGTCAAAATGAGCCCAAATTCGAAGTTTGCCGATATTGAGGCTATTCGGAGGGCTCAAATCGAGGCGGGCGAACTTGAAAGTAGCACAGATGAATCCAGCGAGTCAGAAAACCCTAGTGATAGCGAAAGTTGCATCGTCGTCGCATCATAATACATATAAATATTGGTTGAAGTTGATGTGTATAAAGGTGAGGGCATCAAAAATGGGGTGCCCAAATGTGGGGGGTGCCCAGAAGTGGGTGTGGGACGTTACATTAGGAAAGACATTTAATTTTGCATCACATGGTCAAAGAATTGCAGACTGACAGTTGATTTACTACGTACCAGAAGTCAGTGATCATCTACCTAAACAAAATCCAAAGTAAAAGAGCAAAGTCAGACATAAATCCCAAAAGCCAAGACGTAACACCACCAAATGCAATGCAACCCTAGCCCTTGCCATGCCTATATCACCACCGCGAAGCTTGAAAACCCCTCTCTAGGAGTATACCATCACCTGGGCGCTCAGAAGCCTCCAAGGGGGTTGGGGTTCGGAATAACCTTGCCAACATGCTTGACCGGCGGAATCACCAGCGTCGCCTTGGCCGCGAGCTCCTTGTGCTTCGCCAGCGAGAAGTCCTGGTTGTCAAAGTTCTGATTGACCACGCCGACCATGCCCGCGTTGCAGTGCGTCATGGCGGGCTGCGCGCAGTAGTACCAGGTGGGCTTCTTGTCCTCGACGACAATCTGGAACACGTCCGGGGCCTGGCCCTCGGGCGTGAAGAACTCGAAGCCCGGGAAGAAGCCGCTGCCGTCGGCGAGCGGCTGGCACGGGTTGCCGAAGCTGGACTGCGCGACGGTGTGGTTGCGCGGGAGGAAGTGCCACTCGACCACGTCGCCGATTTCCGCCACGACGTTGTCCGGGTCAAAGCGCAGGCCGCCGAGGCCCGCGACGACGGAGTGGGTTACGCCGGTGAGGTGGGTGGTGCGGGTGGCTTTGGTGCTGCCGGTGGTGGTGGTGGGCGCGGCGGAGACGGCGGCGGCGGAGGCGAGGAGGATGGTGGTGAGGGCCTTGATGGAGAGCATGCTTGCGGGTTTTGTTTGGTTGGTTTGAAGATTTGGATAGAGACTTAATGAAAAAGGAAATGAGATAGGAAGGATGAAAGGAAAAGTTGGGATATTGGATTGGATGCTGTGTTTGCTGTGTGATGATGAGAGAAGTTTCATCTCGAGGACTTCTTGTTCACTTATATACAACATCTCAACCGTACTTTGCTATGGTCATTTTGCCAACATCCTAAGTGCTGTTGTACAGCCCTACGGAATGATCCTCTTCCACCGCATCACGCCCTTGCGGCACGAAGTTGAGGAATCAGCCATGCTTCTCCAGCTTTGCGTCTATTAGCCGGGCTGTAATTGTCAGCAGCACTAATACCCGCAGTCCCCGAAAAGTGCCATTTACATAGTCGCACTGCCAAATCACCCAGCCGGATGGCCAATAATCCGGGGGTCCCTAACTTGCACTAATTCCTTCTCGACGCCATGTTCTCACCCAGACGAAAACGTCGAACGCTGTGATTGGCCGATTGCCGCGCAAAACGCAGTTTTGGAAGAGAGAGTGCTGACCGCGTCTGACCAGATGAACGGCGCTGGCATGTGGCGGAGTAGCTGTCAGTCGCTCCGCCACGGTAGCGCAGTAGTTGAAGCGGAAGAACGTTGGTAGTGAGGGTGGCAGGAGCAAGTCTAAATTTAATTCCCCACAGATGGTTAGACATAGCACGGGATCAAGGTGGCATGTGCAACTTTATCTCTTTTGAATCCATTCCTGGGACTTCCAGATTAGCGCATTGTCGTGATTAGTGTTGGGACGAAGCTACGTTTAGAAGCGTTTGATCAAGTCTACGTAGAGAGCTTGAAATACATAGAATGCATAATAATACCTTATTGTAACACCTTGATGTATTACCATTCATCGCCTACCTTGGAAACCTGACAACTATACCTGGACTGCTACAGTGTAGTCAGTCCTGGTCTTAGCTCTCGGCCCTCAGCTCTCGACAGTAAGCCCTAGGCCGGAATGCCGGAAGGAATCGTATCCCGGCACTACTATGGCCAAGGCTGGACAATGCTATTGTGTGACAACTTGTATTTTTATATGTCTGGGGGGAAAGCAGTTCGGTAAAAGTCCCATCTCTTACAGTAAACCTAAGCAAACCTCTGGTCTGCTGCACATATCCGCTTGTAATAAAACTTGACCAAACATGATTAGCTTTGCGTAGGTCTCCTATTCTCACCCGCGCGTGGTACCGTGGCGAGAACATCTCATCTGGATGTACTGCCCTAGACAATGCTGCTTCATTTCATCTCAGCGGGCTGCGGTCTCTTTGGTGTATAAGTGTGGTGACAGAAATATCCAGACTGGACGGAAGCTGGTTCTCCTTGGCATAGGCAGCAGAACTACTGCTGGGTAAACATAGAGTCGGTGTCCGTAGACGGTAGGATGCGCCAGGTCCACCCAAGACGTAGCCACCACGATCGCTAGACCTCGATTTCTCCAGCCAACTCAGGGCATGTGGCCTATGTTGCTCATCTACAATGCGTTGTCGTCATCTATAATTATGCCATGTTCATGGTCAAACTGCTCCACGTTCTCTGATTCCTGCGATTGTCTCGCTACATGGCGCTCAGATTCGTGGACCTCAACCGTCGGTCATCATTGTCGTGGCTTTTTGCAAAGTTATGTTGTGAAAACTGTCTTATTTAGGTATGTATTAATCTACCGTGTATCAAAAACTGTCGACTGGCCGGTCGTTATCACGGGCTTCTATAACAATATGATACAATGCCTCAAGACGCAGCACAAAGGGCAGCATCATCATCTTCATGCAATACGAGCAACTTCTCATTAAAATTGCCAGTGGTATAACGGCCAGTTTTGTTGAGCGCAAGTACCCTGCGTAGTAGTAGAGGTAGATCTTATTCTTCATATGTACGTAGATTGCAAAACCGGTGGTACATGAATCCCCAGCAAAAATTGATTCCCATCCGACCCGACCTGACACCGTTCGCGCCGACAGTGATGCCGCCTCTCGTATTTGATTTCCAACGTCGTGCTTACACCGCCTTTAAGTATATATCTATCCTACGTCTACGCAGCCGTCAGTTCAGCAATGCGCCTCTCAATCTCAGGCACCTGTCGCAGCAACACCTCGAGGTCCTCCTTTTCGTCCTCGAGCTTCAGCCGCCTGTCAGCATCAAGCTTGGTGAAGACATAGTTGCCCTGTCCGTCGAACTGCAGGATGCGGGAGTGGTACTTCCACAGACTGCGGCGATGGCTGACGGTCATGAGGGTGATGCCGAGGGCCTTGGCATTGTCGTACATGATCTTTTCGGTCTCGAGGGTGACGGAGGAGGTACACTCGTCGAGGATAGCGTAGCGGGGGCGGTGGTAGAAGAGACGGGCCATGGCGACACGCTGTTGGAGGCCGCCAGACAGTACGTCGCGCCACTCGGCCTCGGCGTCCCAACCCGAATCGTAGAGCTCGGGAAGGTGCTCGAGGCCGAGGATGGAGAGAATGGACATGAGGTCGGCGTCGGTGACACCCTTGGCGCGCATTTGGCGGAGGGAGTCCGGGTAGGTGATCTGCTGGCGGAGGGAGCCGCGGGACAGGTAAGGTCGTTGGGGGATGTAGAAGATGTCGGAGAAAGGGGGCTTGTAGACGGTGCCGCCGTAGACAGGCCAGAGGCCGCCGAGAATACGGAAGAGGGAAGACTTGCCGCAGCCGTTGGGGCCGAAGACGAGGAGATGGTCGCCTTGCTTGAGGGAGAAGGAGAGGGCTCTGACAAGGACGTCTCCGTTGGGAGAGATGATTGGGCTAGAGGAGTTAGTGATGAGAATCGGGTAAAGGAGCTGGATAACTTACACGTTGATGAACTCAATGTCCTTGCTCTCGACGACGGTGCCACGGCCCTTGAGGATGGCCTCGTTGTCGTCGGTGCCGGAACTCGAGACGAGTTTCTTCTCGAAGCGGCCGGCGCGGATGTCGTTCATAACCTCGAGGAGGGAGTCGACGCGGGAAGTGTAGCCGGCCAACTCCATGATCTCGCGGTAGGAAAACATGATACGGCCAAAGGCGTCTGACGCGGAGAGCAGCATGCGACGGTTGGTGACGAAGCTCTCGGTGCGGTCACCCATGTTCATTGAGATGTGGCCGGGCATCTTGACAAAAACCGGGACGGAGCAGAGCAGCAGGCCGAGGGCACCCCAGAAGTACTTGATGACGAAGTCCTCCATGAAGCCGTGGTAGAAGCGGCGTCGCAGGATGTAGTTAACGTGCTTGATGAGGGTGAAGTAGCCCTTGTCGAGAGTGTCCTTTTCGGCCTCGTGGCCGTGGTACAAGGCGACTTCTTCGGAGTGGTCGATGAGGCGAGAGTGCTGGAAGCGGAACTCGCCCTCGAGGCGGGCTTCGTCGGCGACGTACTTGCCAAAGGGGGGCGTGAGGGCGCGCATGACGTTGGCGGAGAGCTGGACGAGGAGAGCCATTGAGACAACGCCTTCGCCACCAACGCTGCGGGAGAGGGAGTGGGTGTAGATGGTCTGGAGGTCAGTCAGTACTGGGGATCAGAGTCGATAACAAGATGTGGATGTCTCGTACCATATCCAGGATAGGCTTTGCCAAATTACTGTACAACTCGGCCAAGCTATTGGAGAACTTCGCGACATCGACCGCGATGAGTTGGTCGGGATTGTTTATCCTGTCGTCGAGAGCGGAGATGCCGTAAAAGGTCAATTTGGAGAGGTACTTGTCATGAATGTGCTGTGTTAACCGTGTACGGTACTTGAGGGACAGCTCTGCTTGGTGGTAGGACAACTGCGTTCGTCAGTAAACTGCCTGCATCGCGGGGCATACAGCTCGTGACATACCATTGAGTTTGTAAACGTCGCCGGGATGGCAATCAGCATCCACCACACGATGCGCATCAGGAACTCCCGGCCGTTACCCTTGACCAAACTCTTGACAATCGCACCGTCCATCGCCGCGACCTTGAGACTGATCAACGTCCTCACGACGAGGAAGAAGGAGTGGCTGATGAGCAGGCGGGCCTCCTTGCTCCTCCAGCCGGGTATGACAATCTTGAGCAGGCGCAGCAGCGAGCGGAAGAACTCGCGGTTGAGCTCGACCTTTCTGCGCTTCTTGGTCACGTCCTCGTCGGAGGGGGCGGCGAGGGTGGCGCGGGACTCGCGGGCGGCGGCGTCGCGGACGGAGGCGGCCTTCTGTTCGGAGATGGCATGGCGGATGCGGTTCGCGAGGGCGACGAAGAGGGTGATCCAGACGGCGCGGGAGATGCGCGTGCGGTTGGAGAGGTAAAGCTGGGTGAGCTGGGCGATGATGTTGCGGACGCTGCGGTCGCCGGACGGCAGGAGGAGGGAGACTTTGGATTGGGCGGCCATGGCTGGGCGAGGGGGGCCCCCGGGATGGGGAGCTGGTGTTTGTGATCGTGGGAGGTAGGTCCGGAGAGGCGATTGTCGTGGTACGGATCGGGTGTTTTGGTCGCGGACTGGTGGAGGGAGAGCGACGGCAAACGGCGAACGGCTACTCGGCTACGTCACCGGCAGCGACTGGGGAATTGGAGAGGTCAGCGCATTCGGCGGTGATGTCGATTGAACAGCCCGTCGTCCAGGGTTATCGTGGGTAGGAAATTCGGAAGTGTAGATTTGAAGGAAACGAGTTCGCTTTCAGCAGCAAAAGGAGGATGTTGTTGACAATGGCGGCCGAAGGAGCATGGCTGGTCACACGGCTCTCTTCGGACGACGAGGCGCTGGCCGGTAGCAGCGTTGAAGGTACCTAGTGACGCTGCAGAGAATAGCAGCAGGACCCGGTAGACTTCCAGGTTGGGTTCCCCCACGACTCGGTTCGGGTGTTTCCTTTGCGCGCGTCTTTGTCCAGCGGTGGAACTGGCTGGGGTTGGCTTCCTTCAGTGGCTTCTCTGTCCCTCGGCCCCGGAGTTGCAGTGGACACCTTTGGTGCAGAAGGGGCCCGCTCCAGCGAAGCCGGCGTTGTGATTGGCGAACCCCGGAAAATGCTGCTGTGGCCCGTCCCCAACTTCCCATGTGAATCGGATGCCGGTTGCATGTGATTTGGTGCCTGGGGAAGAGGGAACTTGGCTTATGTCAGCGGCATTGATTTTGTGGCTGTTCTTCGTGGCTGTGTCACTGGATTACAGAGGTTAGCCACACCGCGGGGCAAACACCTCCGATGACTTTTTTTTCGAGGTTCCCCTCGACAGCGCAGCGCAAAGAGCAACTGGTTGACTCCATCACCAACTCTACCAAGTCCAACCACGCAAACCCCTGCAAACCGCAATTGCCAGGCGACCAAACAACACCGACACCATGGCCGACGACAACATTTCCATCTACGACGAGATCGAAATCGAGGACATGACCTTTGACGAGGACGTGCAAATCTACCACTACCCCTGCCCGTGTGGCGACAAGTTCCAGATTGCGCTGGCCGACCTGCGCGACGACGAGGACATTGCCGTGTGCCCCAGCTGCAGCCTCATGATCCGCGTCATATTCGACAAGGTGAGATTGCACACCGGCAACTGATAATCGTAGGAAATGATGGGGAAGCTAACAGAGCGCAGGACGACCTCCCGAAGGACCCCGAAGACGGTCCCGAGCCGGCCCTCGAGGAGGCTTCCGCCCAGATCCCCGTTGCCGCCTAAGGTGTGAACGGACCTGGGTCGTTCTGCTGGAAGCACAGGGAAGGGGGTCATATGAAGATACAGACCACACACACGGTAGCCGGCGTCGTCTGCCCACGGCTGCGACGTGCACCTACCGCACGCCGTCCTCTGGGACAACAACGCACACTGAAAGCCACAAAAGGGAGGCCGCCAGGCCAAATGACACCGGCGCCCTTCCGTGCAGCCTCCGCAACCCCTGATCGGACGATACACCCGTTCGGTGGCACAAGGTCGGGGTGGAACGGCGCACGTGGGTTACTCTCCGTACGCTGAGCCCGTTTTCGATTCGTGGGCAGGGAGATTACGCCGTAATGAGATGGTAGCACCCGGGAAACACGCAGTCGATCGCGGCTGCTATGGGGAAATGACCGGCCCTGCGCTCTGATCTGGCGCCTCAGAGGGGATAGTAAGAGTCGATCCGGCGCTGGGGACGCCTGCGTGGGGGTTCCCGACCTCGAATCTTCGAGACACCTTTGGGCAGATATGCGCTGCGCTGAACTCGGTTTGGGATGATCTGATTGATGTGGGCTATGGTATGTGCTAGGCGTGGTAACGGGATTGTGAGCTAGGATAGAGGATGCATTCCGAGAAGCTCAAGTCCAGGCAAGATTGTTACACATCAACATCAATCCGAAGAAACATGGGAGTCTCAAAGGCCTTTGAACAGGTATTCTATTAATTACCACAAATAACCCCAAACCCCTCACTCATTAATCCTTATCAAACCGCTCCCCCTCATAATATTCATATGCAAGAAATGATTAAAAGTTCCAACGCCGTGTGTCCCTTCCCTTAAAATTTCATCGTACACATTTTTGCGCTCGTCATTAAAAGCGTGAAACCCGTGAAAACCCATTATGCAGCTTGCTTTGCTGGCCCGCTTACAGCAAGAAGAGACCGGCGACACCAAAGGCGAGGAGACCGGCGGCGGAGCCCTTGAGCGCGACCTTGTCGGCGGCGGCAGTGGGGACCGTGACGGGGCCGGAGGTGGTCGCGTTGGGGGCGGAGGTGTAGTAGGTCTGGGTGGCGGTGGAGGTGGCGAGGGTGGCTGTTCATCGCTGTTAGTCTTCCGTTTTCCACTACAATGCACTTGAGGCAAAATAAACTCACTGTTAATGGGGGCGGTGAAGGTAGGCAGCGTCACGACGGGGTCGGAGACGGACGAGACGGAGGGGAAGGGGACGGGGGGCACGGCGATGGTGGTGGTGGTGACGCCGCTCTCAACGGTGGAGGTGCCGACGGACACGGTGACGGTGGTGCTCGGCTCCGGGGTGGCGTCGGCCGCGGAGGAGGAGGAGGCGCCCGGGGTGACGGTCAGGGTCGTCTCGGGGACGGTGGCGGTGACGGTCACGGAGGGGGTGGGCTCCGGGAAGACGGGGAGGGTGATTGTGGTGGTGACGCCGTTGGTGAGGACGATGGAGGTGATGTCCTGGGCGGCGGCCAGGGTGGCGGCGGCGGCGGCGAGGATGGAGGCGGAGCGCATTTTGGCTGTGTTTTGTTTTGGGGGGTTGGTGGGAGTGTGGGCGTGGTGAGGTGAGGCGGAGAGGAAGCGACTGAGGCTGGTGATGGGCTTGTGAGTTGATGTTGTTGGGGATGAGGCACAAGAGAGGATGGAATGATCACGAAGGGATGGGGATGGATAGGATATATACTAGCAAGAATCACACAAACACCAAGACTTTCAGATGGTGTGACGAGCGAGAGCAGAGAAAGAGAGTAGAGACCGACCCCCGTACGACGACTACGTATGTTTGCGCATTGTGCGAGTCGGTGACAGCAGCGATGCCAAGAATGGCGATTTCTGCGCGTCTCCCCCCTCCTCTCCAGGCTTGCACGACATCATCTTTGGGACTGGCAGGGTGGAACTCTGCCAGCTGGTTGGTCTTTGGTTGGTCGCAGCAAGGCGAACAGGTATCCGTCCGGTACCATACATCATGGGTATCCGTAAAGAGAAGGGTTGGGCTCTGTCTTCCAGGTGTGGGGGGAGGGAGGGGGGGAGGGGGGAGCCGTTTCCCGTGCATGCAGGAAGCAGGCTGTTTTTTCCAACGGTCGATTCGACGACGAGCAAGGCAAGACTCGGTGATGTCTACCGCCTGGGTTCCTGGTTCTGGACCACGGGTTGCAAGGCCGGGCGACCTCCCCTCCCCCCGGCCCCGACGAACCAGGAACCCTGTTTTGCCTTGAGCCCGCCTTACCATCACCCCTGCTGGTCGACCCGGTGGGGTAGGTACCTACGTCGAAAGTTTGCACAACCTCGAAAGAGGTCGACGCGAGATGGCTGGGATGTGAAGTGGTGGTCGTGATGGGAGGGGGATTTACCCGATGGCTGGGGATGGGGTGGGATGGGGATTGCTTCAAACTTGCACCCAGCGAACAGGAACCGCAGAAGACAAGTTCGGTATGAACAAAATCGAGAAGTGATGGACTCCCACCACCTCTTTCTTTTGCGCTTCTCCCATCCGAACGTTTCATGTAGCTGCCATCTCATCTCATTGGCAGATCTCGATGGACATCAGCTTAATTCTGGGTGACAGAGTTCTGACGAACACCGAGAAAATCTGCCATTGAAAGCCAGGAAGCCCAGCCCGGACGGAGGCATGGGGATGAACCTCATCTCGAGCAAATCAGCAGATCCAAGTAGTGACGCCTGCCAACACTCTCGCACCCTGCCGAAACCCCGTCCTCGCACCGCAAACCTCGAAACCATTCAGCATCTATCTCGTCATCTCTGGTCCAGGGTAGATTGAGGGGTTTGTGTGTGACACGGCAAATCATGAATGAGCAAACGAATGGGGAAAATCCCCTCCCTCGCAGAAAACCCAGATTGCTTGTTTCCTTTGCTGCTAAGATTCGATGGTCGCGCCGCGCAACCGACTTGTCCAGGCACCGCACTCCGGACACCAGAAAAAAGTTGGCGATACCCGATGTCGTGCTCTGTTGCGTCATACCCGGACGAGAAGACCTGCCAGCGAAGTGCACCGGTAGTGTTAACAGCAAAAGAAACAACACTCTGCCAGGATCGAAAGGCCTTGGAGGGCGGCTGCATCGGCTCTCAGCCCGTGACCTAACTGGCCCATCCCCTCAGCCCAATGCCATGGCATTTCCCTCTCTCTCTCTCTCTCCCACAGACACCTCACCTTCTTCCCATGCATCACATCATGCCCGAATTGACTTCACAGGTTCCTGGGACCTGAGCCTGACTGGCCACGAGCGCGGTGACGGAAACAAAAAAGAGGGTGGCAGGGTACAGGGGAGCCATGTTCCGACCATCTTTTGCAAGGATCCCAACCAGGTTTTGCTGCTCTGCCCTTCCCCCGTCACCGCCGCTGCCAGCAGCACCCCAGCCACGCTCCCACGAACTCCATCCAATGAACCCGCGAGAACGACACACCAGCCACCTCTTCATCCTGACGTCTCCGTACAACAGCCGCGCAACCCCGGCCTGCAAGCCACATCACTTTTCCAGACAACCCCACGAATGAGAGCCGCAGACACCGCTGGACGTCGTCGTCGTCACGTCAGGCCCGGCAAGGCGAGCTAGCCCATGCGGTGACGATGATGGGGCCGGCTGTCAGCTTCACAGAGGGGAAGGAAAAAAGGACGCAATGCATTCCCTGATTTTGGCATCTGCACCTGAGCCTTGCTCTCAGGCCGCGATGCCCATGCAGCGGGAGCTTGTCTAGCAGGTTCCTTCCGTGGGCCAAGCTGCTGTTTCCCTTCCCGCCCTGCTCGCTAGCGCCCTCTTTTGCAAGGAACCGAGACCGCCTGGGTGACCCATGTCCAGCTCAGCCTAGGCCGATGAATCTTGTCGTCTCATCGTATCCTTAGAGTTGAGCGAGTGAATGCAACTAGGATAGATCAATCCAGAGACAGAAACACCATGCAAAGGGCAGGCCTTCTAGAAAGCCATCGGAAACATTGGTCCAACCAGCGCCAAGTCCGGATCCAAGCACATCTCTGGCCTCACATCAAAACACGCATTGCAAAAAAAAAAAAAAAAAAGCAACACAACGATAAAGCACATTGACATTGATATCTAACTCGTCTTGTATCTTCTTTTTTTGGTCCTTTCATCCTCGGCATCCACACATTCTAACCCCCGTTTATGACGATTCCACATTCGCAAACAAAAAGTTGGGCGCGCCGGGAACCGCTCCCTCGGCGTTGGGCGGCAGGTTCTCCACCGTCGCCCCGGAAATCAGATCCGTACCCTTCTTGCTGCCCTCCTCGACCGCCACGATCGACACCTCGACGAGGTTCGCGCTGCGCTTCAGGCCGTCCACCATGTCCACCAGCACCGCCTTCTCGTCGAACGCGAGCTTGCGCTCGAGCACCGCGTTGGCCGGCTCGCCCGCCTGCAGACGCCTCTTGAGGCCCTGCACGAACGGCATCGCCTTTTTCATCTCGCCCATCTTGGCAATCTTGCCGTTGAGCGCCTTGTCGTCCACCGAGTTAGTCGCCGGGTTCCACATCTCCTTGAGCAGGTCAATGTAGGCCTGCTGCCACTGCGGGAAACTCTCGCTCATGAAGACGGTGAGCTTCTTGGGCTTCTTGGGGTCGAACGACGTCTCCTTGCCCTTGGCCTTCTTTTTGAGCTGCAGAGACTCGGCCGAGTTGACGTTGGACGCCGTGACGGAGATGTACTTGCGCGCCGCGGTGAGGGCGGCGTCCGTCTCGGGAATCTCGGGGAAGGTCGCCTGCTGGATGGACGTCGGCTTGCCGAGAATCTCGACCCACACGGACTCGGCCCAGTGGGGCGCGACGACGGCGATGAGGAGACACTGGAGCTCAATGAAGCGAATGACCAGGTCGTGGTGCATCTTGATCGACGAGCAGCTCTCACGGTAGAAGGACAGGGCGTTGTTGAAGCTGTGTAGTGTGTTAGCTTAGCTCGCTTCGTGTCGCGTTGACGTAAAACTTACTCGTAGAAGGAGGCCTTGAGGGCCAGCTTGTAGGAAGTATCGGTGTACTGCTGGATGGCCTCCTTGGCAATAACGTTCATCTCGTTGTTGAACACCTTGTCGAAGAAGTTGAACTCGCCAGTGCGGAGCTCGCTCTTGTTCTTGACGACATCGTCGCACCACTCTCTCAGGGTGTAGAGACGGAGAATGGCCTGGTTGGCAACGTCCTCCTCAAAGTTGCTGTCACCGTTGGTGTCACCGGCGTCGGCAAGACCGATACGAGCAGCGTCGGCACCGAACTTGCGGGCGACATCCTGCATGGTAAGGAAGTTGCCGGTAGACTTGCTCATCTTCTCACCGTTCAGCATCAAGTGGCCGTTGGTACGGATACCTCTGGGCCAGTACTCGGGGGTGAAGATGGCGAGATGGATGTACAGGAAGAAGGTCAAGTGGTTGCCGATCAGGTCCTTTCCAGAAGAACGGAGGTCGAGGGGATAGAAGTACTCGAATGAGCGGCGCATGCTCTCAAGAGTGTCCTTGGAGATCTTGCACTCGGAAAGAAGCTTGTCGTCGAGCTCGCGGCGGCAGAAGACGTAATCCCAGACCTCGTCAATCATCTGCTCAGCGGAGATGTCGCCAGTGCCCTTCTCTCTGCCAAAGATGTCCTTGTGCAGGTAGGGGGCGATGGTGTAGTAGGCCATGTAAATGGTACTGTCACTCAGAGACTCGACGAGGAACTGAGGATCCCAAGGCAGCTTGGAGCCGAGACCGTACGATCTCGCGCACGCCCACTGGTTCAGCCAGTTGAGGACACCCTGGAAGGCGTTCTTGGTCTCGTGGCTGAAAGTGTTGAGACCCTTGCCGTCGGTGTTCTCGACCCAGTCAAGGGCAGTCTTCTTCCAGGACTCTTCTCCGTAGTCCAGGTACCACTGGTCCATCAGGGAAACGATACAGTCATCGGCAGAGCGACTCACGACCTTGCGCTCGGGCTCGGAGTAGGCAAAGGCAAGACCCTGGTCGATGAGGGACTGGCGGACCTTGGGCTTGGCAGCCTCGACGGACTCGCCCTTGAACTCGCCAATCTTCATCTTACCCTTGTAGTAGCCCTCAGAGTACGCCGTCTCCTTGGCCTTGTCGAGCTGGACGGTGTCCTTAGGGGAAGCGATCTTGAGCTGCTCGACGAGAGTCTTGGCGATCATGTCACCAGAGGGGGTGTCAATGATGGGGATGATTCCAAGCTCGGCCCACTCCTGCTCAATGCCGTAGTAAGCGGCCTTCTTGCGGAGGTCCATGGTCATGACCCAATCGGCGGGAGAGTCTGAGGGAACAGAGGTGACGACACCAGTACCCTTGGTCGGCAGAATGGAGTCCATGGGAAGGACGCGGACACCGGCCTCGTGAATAGAGAAGGGAGCATGGACACGTGTACCGATCATGGCAGATCCATCGATATCGGCCGTCTGGTCGACGACGCCCTCCTGGAGGAAGAGACCCTGGTAGGCCATGTTGCGGGCAGCACGCAGAGTCATAACGTAGTAGTCCTTCTCGGAAGCCTTGAAGACACCGTAGGTGATCTTGGGGG